AATGGCAGAGCCAGAAATCTGAGCTGTGTTTGTTTTCAAAGTCATATTCTTTCACATAGACAATTATTACCTAATTCTCTAAACAATTTATGCTTTTATTTTCCACTCTTCCAAAAACAGCATTATAAATACTATGGAAATACAATATTGGAGGCTCTTGACAAACTATGTACAGGAAATCAAGTTAAGTCATCTTCATTGTTAACAAAATTAATCTTTGTTACTATTACTAACTAAAGTTAACTACTTAACTATTATCTATATTTAATGTGTGTGTCCTGAAATTATAGAGAGAATCTAGAGTGGGGATTTGCAAACCATGGCCCTCTAATTGATGCCTGTTTCTGCAAGTAAAGGCATATTGGAACATGGCCAGCCCTATTCATTTATATATTGCCTATGACTGCTTTCACAATAATATTGTGAAGGGCTTCAGAATATCCTGTTACGGAACCTGGACTGGATTGCCCGATGGAAGAACCAAGCGGCACTCGGAGATCTTGGAGGATAGGAGCTTTATTTAAGGCTGGTGGGCTCAGAGGAGAGTATCTCCAAAGGTCGGAGCCCTGAGCACAAAGAGGGTAATTTATACACTTCTACTTCCGCATACTTGGTACTTTTGGCTCCTGAGGGAAGCCAGGCAGGGAGGAGAACCCGGAAGAGCCCAGGGCAGAGGCTGGGACTCCTTTGCTGGCTCGGTGGGCTATCTTAAGACACAGATTTCCCTTATCAATACTACTGTGACAGAAGGATTATTTTGAGCTGAAGACATTTGACAGTTAAGAGATGTAAAAAAGGCTTTGTCTGAATTCCCCTTACCAGCCTAAAAGCTAAGCCTCCCCAAAGAGGAGTTATGACTCCTCAACTGTCCTAACTCCCTTCCCCAGAATTTCATAACCAGGGAAGATGACTCCTATCAAGGAGAAGTCAGCACTGGGATAAGAAATTGTCTAAAAAGTAATTGTTACAAACGATCATATCTCCTATCTATTTTCCTAAAGGTCCATTTATCTTTCCTAAGAGTGATTTGTTTTCCCATAAGTGCCCCTTCTCCTCCAACTTTTCCCATATTAAGATGGTATATAGGCCCCCAATTCTAACCCCCTCTTTAGGCCACATTTTGTGAGCTGTCTTGTGAACAAACAAGAATTAACCTTGTCTTTTCTCTTGCTAATCTGTCTTTTGCCAGTTTAATTTGCAAGCTGTAAGTACAAACTTAAGAGGGTTGAGGAAAGTTTTTCCTCCCTGACAAATGCAATGTCAAATTGTTGCAACAGAGATCTTGTGGCCTACAAAGCCTAAGATATTTTGCTTTATCTGGCATTTCAGAGAAAATTTGCTGGCCTCTGGCGAGGCTGAGAGATCATTCAGAAAGGGGAAATAGATTTTCACTACCTTTTAGCTTATTTCACAATGAATATGACGTTTACACGAAAGGGCACAACCATGTTATTTACTTGCGAATAATCATGTAGATGCTGGAGGAAATTTATAAGCTTGTTTACTGCCATGTTGGCAATGTGGCCCTTGGCAGTAAGAACCTGGATGGCTATTTCTTGTCTTAAAGGAAGTTACTGTATCATCGTTGTAAAATCTCTTTCTATCTAATGTGCCTAATTTAAGTTCCAATCAGATATCTACTGTGTAGTATACATGTAGACACAATAAATATTCAAAGACATCATCTAGGGCACCTGGGTGGCTCAGTCGTTAAGCGTCTGCCTTCGGCTTAGGTCATGATCCCAGGGTCCTGAGATTGAGTCCTACATTGGGCTCCCTGCTCAGTGGGGAGCCTGCTTCTCTCTCTCCCTCTGCTCCTCCCCCTGCTGTGCTCTCTCTCTGTCAAATAAATAAATAAAATCTTAAAAAAAAAAAAGGTATCTAGAGAATTATTGTTGTTTAATTTCTATTTTTAAATTGTTACAGAGTTTGATTATTTAATAATTACCTATGCATGCTTCCTCTTCTGTGAATTGTCTGTTCAAATCGTACTGATCTCCTCATAAATATTTATAAATACTCTATATACATGATTATGTACTTTTAATGCTCTATGCTGCCTTTGTAGAAAGATTTTTTTAATGCTAGTAATATTTATCTACATTTCTGTTTCTGATTTTTTTCAGTCACTTATACTTCTAGAAGTTCTTAATCTATCCTGTAATTTTCTGTTAAATTATATTTTCTTATAATATGCTATTGTTTGATTATTTTCCTATGAGTTTTTTATTCATACATATAGATTTACGTAGGAATTTATTAAGTGGTATGACCCAACACAAACACACACACATTTTACTTTCACCATATGCTAACAGCCACCATTTCCACCACCGCCACAACCAAATAGCTAACCAAATGCCTTGATAAAAAAAAAGGCTTTGCCTTTCTCGTCCGGAAGAAGGTAGGCTGGCTAGGGACTCGGGACCTGAGGAAGAACACTGCGGTGAGTGTCTCTGCTTTTCTTTTTATCTCTTGTATCCCAAACTTGGAGCAGAAGATGCCAGCCACCCAGAAACAAACTTCATCAGAGTTAAAAGAATTGAATTATGCAGACGGTGTTCTCTGACCACAATGGAATCAAACCAGTCAAATACGTAAAGGAAAGATAATAGAAAAATCTCTAAACACTTGGAAACTAAACACATTTGTTAATAATCCATGAGTCAAAGGAGTTGACTCAAAATATACATGGAACTGAAAATAAAAATACAGCATATTAAAATGTATGTGACAAAGCTAAAGCAGTATAGCTCTATAACCAATAAGAAAACGTAATTCATTATTTTAAAATAACCCAAATAGAAATCTTCATGCCCAGATTGTTTCTCTGGAAAATCCTACCAGAGTTTAAAGAGGCAATAACACCAATTTTGCATGGTCTTTTCTAAAAAATAGAAGAGGAATTCATTCTATGAAGCTAGTATTACCCTGATACCAAAACCAGATGACAGTATAAAAAAGAAAACTACAGACCAATATTCTTCACGAAAATCAACGCAAAAATCCTTAAAACTATTTGCAAGTAGACTTCAGCAATATGTAAAAATAATTCTACTTCATGACCAAGTGAGGTTTATTCCAGGGATGCAGTAATGGCTCAAATGCAAAAATCAAATATCATCTACCATATTAAGGCAAAAGAAGAAAAATCACATGATCGATTAATACAGAAAAATAATTAGAAAAAATTCAATACCAGTTCTTGGTAAAACTGTCAGAAAAGTAACTATATAGAGAAACTTCCTCAACTTGATGATGACCATCTATAAAACAGTAAGGAAACAAACTAGCATGGCTAACCTTATACTTAATGGTACAGAACTGAATGCTTTTCCTTTAAGATCAGGAAGAAAGCAAGGATGTCCACTCTCACCACACTTATTCAACATAATGTTGGATAGTCTAGCTAGTATAAGAAAGTAAAAAAGGAAAATAAAAACAATACAGAACTGAAAGGAATACAACTGTCCCTATTTTCAGAAGACATGATTGTCTGCATAGAAAATAAGGAACCTACAAAAAACTCCTAGAAATAATAAGGAGGGTGTTCAATACAGTCACAGTAAATAAGAAAAATATCAGTCATATTTCCAAACACTAGAAATGAGCACAGGGTCACCAAAATTAGTATAATTCCATTGACACTCACGCCCAAAATTATATACTTAGGTGTATATCTAACAAAAAGGACTTGCAGGCTGAAAACTCTACAAGGTTGATGAAAGAAATCAAAGAAAACCTAAATAAGTAGAGACATACTGTGTTTGTAGATTGGAAGACTCAACATAGTAGATATGTCAATTCTTCCCAAATTGAAGTAAGTTTTAATGTAATTCCTATCAAAATTCCAACAAGGTTGGCTTTTTTTTGCAGATATTAACAATATCACTCTAAAATTTATGTAGAAAAACAAAAGAACTAGAATAAAGCAATTTTTTTCAAGTTGACAACATTTTATTTAAATTTCTATATATAAATTTACATACTTAAAGGAAATAAAGTTGTTTCTTATAAGAAAATCTAAATGTTGCCAAAAAAGCAATCTTTGCTCATCTTTCAATTTCAGTGCCACTGAAACTTTTTTTAATGTTGTTTTTGAAAGACAACTCAGTTCAACTCAAATACACCTAGATTTTATTTAAGTCAAATAATACTTAGATTTCATTTTAGGAATTATCAAAAGATCACTGACAAATGATTTTTTACCTATAGTAATCTAAGATTTCAACCCAAATTTAGCAATATATTGTCTTTATATACTCCTAGCTTTGATTCATTCCTTTTTCTTAAAGTTTTTATTTAAATTCCAGTTAGTTAACATACAGTGTAATATTAGTTTCAAGTGTACAATACACTGATGCAACATTTCCATATGATACCTGGTGCTTATCACAACAAGTGCACTCCTTAATCCCCATCACCTATTTAACCCATCTTCCACCCACCTCCCCTCTGGTGACCATCAGTTTGTTGTCTATAGTTAAGAGTCTGTTTCTTGGTCTTCCTCTCTATTCTTTTTTACCCTCTGCTCATTTTTTTGTTTCTTAAAGTCCACATAAGAGTTAAATCATATGGTATTTGTCATTCTATGACTTATTTCCTTAGCATTATACTCTCTAGCTCCAACCACATCATTGCAAAATGGCAAGATGTGATTCTTTTTTATGGCTGAGTAATATTCCATTGTGTGTATCACTTCTTTTTTTTAAAATTCAATTAGCCAACATATAATACATCATTAGTTTCTGAAGTAGTGTTCAATGATGCATCAGTTGCATACAACACCCAATGCTCATCACATCATGTGCTCTCCTTAATGCCCATCACCCAGTTATCCCATCCTCCCACCCATCTCCCTTCCCACAACCCTCAGTTTATTTCCCAGAGTCAAGAGTCTCTCATGGTTTATCTCCCTCTCTGATTTTTTCCCATTCAGTTTTCCCTCCCCTTATGATCCTCTGCACTATTTCTTATATTCCACATATGAGTAAAACCATAAAAATATGGAACACTTCATGAATTTGCATGTCATCCTTGCACAGGGGCCATGCTAATCTTCTCTATATTGTTCTAATTTTAGTATGTGTGATGCTGAAGTGAGCACTATACCACAGCTTCTTTATTCATTCATCTGTCGATAGACATCTGGGCTCCTTCCATAGTTTGGCTATTGTGGACATTGCTGCTATAAACATTGGGGCGCTGGTACCCCTTCAGATCACCACATTTGCATCTTTGAGATAAATACCTAGTAGTGCAATTGCTGGGTCATAGGGTAGTTCTATTTTTAACTTTTTGAGGTATCTCCATACTGTTCTCCACAGTGGCTGCACCAGTTTGCATTCCCACCAACAGTGCAAGAGTGTTCCTTTTTCTCCACATTCTTGACACTTACTTGTTTCTTGCGGTTTTTGTTTTATCCACTCTGACAGGTGTGAGGTGATATCTCATTGTAGTTTTGATTTGTATTTCTCTGATGATGAGTGATATTGAGCATCTTTTTATGTGTCTGCTGGCCATCTGTATGTCTTCTTAGGAAAAATGTCTATTCATGTCTTCTGCCTATTTTTTAATTGGATTTTTTTGGGGGGGTGTTGAGTTCTGTAAGTTCTTTTTATATTTTGGAAACTAACCCTTTATCAGGTATGTCACTTGCAAATAATCTTCTCCCATTCTGAAAGCTGCCTTTTAGTTTTGTTGATTGTTTCCTTTGCTTACAGAAGCTTTTTATTTTGATGCAGTCCCAATAGTTTATTTTTGGTTTTATTTCTCTTGCCTCCGGAGACATGTCTTGAAGGAAGTTTATGGCTGATGTCAAAGGGATTACTGCCTGTGTTCTCCTCTAGGATTTTGATGGTTTCGGGTCTCACATTTAAGTCTTTAATCCATTTTGAATTTAGTTTTGTTATGGTATAAGAAAGTGATCCAGTTTCATTCTTTTGCATGTTGCTGTCCAGTTTTCCTAACACCGTTTGTTGAAGTGACTGTCCTTTTTCCATTGGATATTCTTTCCTGCTTTGTTGAAGATTAATTGACCATACAGTTGTGGGTTCCCTTCTGGGTTTTCTATTCTGTTCTGTTGATCCATGTTTCTATTTTTGTGCCAGTACCATACTGTCTTGATCACCACAGCTTTGTATATAATTCAAAGTCTAAAATTGTGATGCCTCCAGCTTTGCTTTTTCTTTTTCAAGGTTGCTTTGGCTCTTCAGGGTCTTTTGTGGTTCCATACAAATTTTAGGATCATTTGTTCTAGCTCTGTGAAAAATGCTGGTGGTATTTTGATAGAGATTTTATTAAATGTGTAGATTGCTTTGGGTAGTATAGATATTTTAAGAATATTTGTTCTTCCAATCCATGAGCATGGAATATCTTTCCATTTCTTTGTGTTCTCTTCAATTTTGTTAATCAGTGTTTTATGGTTTTCAGAGTACAGGTCTTTCACTCTTTTGGTTAGGTTTATTTCTAGGTATCTTATTGTTTTTGGAGCAATTGTAAATGGGATTGATTCCTTAATTTCTCTTTCTGCTGCTTCACTATTGGCATATGAAAATGCAACAGATTTCTGTACATTGATTTTGTATCCTGAGACTTTATTGAATTTGTTTATCAATTCTAGCAGTTTTTTTTTGTGGAATCATTTGGGTTTTCTACATAGAATATCATGTCATCTCCAAAGAGTGAAAATTTGACTTTTCCTTGCTGATTTGGATGCCTTTTATTTCTTTGTGTTGTCTGACTGCTGTAGCTAGGACTTCCAGTACTATGTTAAATAACGGTGAGAGTGGACATCCCTGTCTTGTTCCTGACCATAGAGGAAAAGCTCTCAGTTTTTTCCCATTAAGGATGATATTAGCTGTGGGTTTTTCATAGATGGCCTTTATTATGTTCAGGTATGTTCCCTCTAAACCTACTTTATCATGAGTGGATATTTTACTTTGTCAAATGCTTCTTCAGCATCTATTGAAATGATGAAATGGTTCTTATCCTTTCTTTATTAAAGTGGTATATCATAGCGATTGATTTGTGAATATTGAACCACCCTTGCAACCCAGGAAAAAAATCTCACTTGATCTTGGTGAATGATTCTTTTAATGTATTGTTGGATTCTGTTTGCTAGTATTTTATTAAGATTTTTTGCATCCATGTTCATCAGGGATATTGGCCTCTAGTTCTGTTTTTTAGTGGAGTCTTTATCTGGTTTTGGTGTCAGGATAATGCTGGCCGTATAGAATGATTTTGGAAGTTTTTCTTCCTTTTCTATTTTTTTGGAATAGTTTGAAAACAAGAGGTATTAACTCTTCTTTAAATGTTTGATAGAATTTGCTTGTGAAGCCATCTGGTCCTGGACTTTTTGTTTGTTGAGAGTTTTTTTGATTAGTGATTCTGTTTCTTTGCTGGTTATTGGTCTGCTCAGATTTTCTATTTCTTCCTGTTTCAGTTTTGGTAGTTTGTATGTTTCTAGAAATGTGTCCATTGCTTCTAGATTGTCCAATTTGTTGGCATGCAGTTTTTCATAATATTCTCTTATAATTGTTTGTATTTCTGTGGTACTGGTTGTTATTTCTCCTCTTTATTTATGATTTTATTTATTTGGGTCCTTTCTCTTTTCTTTTTGATAAGTCTGGCTAGAGGTTTATCAATTTTATTTTTTCAAAGAACCAGCTCCTGGTTGCATTGATCTGTTCTATTTTTTTTTTTAATTTCTATATGATTTATTTCTACTCTAATCTTTATTATTTCCTTCCTTCTTCTGGCTTTAGGCTTTGTGTGTTCTTTTTCTAGCTCCTTTAGGTGTAAGGTTAGGTTATATATATGAGATTTTTCTTGTTTCTTGAGGTAGGCGTGTATTGCTGTATAATTCCCTCTTAGGACCACTTTTGCTGCATCCCAAAGGTTTTGGACCATTGTGTTTTCATTTCCACTTTTTTCCACATATTTTCTTTGATTTGCTGGTTGACCCATTCATCATTTAGTAGAGTGTTGTTTAACCTTCACGTATTTGTGGTCTTTCCAAATTTCTTTCTTGTGGTTGACTTCTAGTTTCATAGCATTGTGGTCAGGAAAGGTGCATGATTTGTGACCTATTATGTGCTCTATTCTGGAGAATGTTCCATGTGCACTTGAAAATAATGTGTATTCTGCTGTTTAAGGATGAAATGTTCTGAATATACCTGTTAAGTCCATCTGGTCCAGTGTGTCATTCAAAGCCATTGTTTCCTTGTTGATTCTCTCTTTAGATGATCTGTCCATTGCTGTAAGGTGTTATTTCTTAAAACAAATAAATAAATAAATTTCTTAAATAAATAAATTTTCTGTTCTCTTTTCTCTCTTCTTCTTCTGAGACTCTTATAATATGAATGTTACTTTGTTTGATGGAGTTACTGAGCTCCCTAAATCTATTATCGTGTTGCATAATTTTTTTTTCTCTTTTGTTCAGCTTCATTATTTTCCATTATTTCGTCTTTCAGGTCACTAATTTGTTCCTCTGCTTCTTCCAGCCTGCTGTTCATTGCATCAAACCTGTTTCCAAACTCATTTATTACATTCTTCATCACTGACTGATTCTTTTTTAACTCTTTTATCTCTGTGGAAAGGGTCTCACTAATGTCTTACTCTTTTCTCAAGCCCAGTGAATATTCTTATGACTGTTGTTTTAAATTCTCCATCAGGGGTGCCTGGGTGGCTGGGTCAGTTAAACATCTAACTCTCGATTTCAACTCAGGTCATGATTTTAGGGTCCTGAGATCAAGCCCCATGTCCAGCTCCATGCTCAGCATGGAGTCTGCTTCAGTTTCTCTCCTTCTGCCCCTCCCCCTGCTCGTGGTCTCTCTCTCTCAAATAAATAAATTTTTAAAAATAAATAAATAATTCTCCATCAGGCACATTACTTATATCTGTTTTGATTAGATCTCTGGCTGTGGCCTTGTCCTGCTCTTTCATTTGGGACAAATGCTTCCTCTTGGCTTTTTGTCTAAATCTCTGCCTTCTGCTATGTGTTAGAAAAGCCAGTTATGTCTCATTCTCCTGAAATAATGGCCTTGTGAAGAAGAAGCAATGTAGTGCCTAGAGTTTGGCAGTTCAGGGAGTGTCCCTGGTGTTTGCTATGCAAGTTATGCTGTTATGTTTTGGCTGCTCTATCCTTCAGGCCAGTCATCTTCAGAGGCTCTCCATGCCTGCTATGGGTGGTGTTTGGTTCCTGGCCTAAATGTGTTGAGTTTTAAGTAGGTGTGCTCTGGTCTGCTTGTGAAGTCAGTCCTGACACCAACTCCACCAGAATTGAGGCCCTGCAGAGCTGGTGTGGCCGGGAGACGTGGTGTGGGCAGGGTCTGTGCTGGTGTTCTGGGGGAGAGTCCTGCTGCTCTGGGACTGAGGCAAGCTTGACTGAGAAGGGCAGTCCTGCCAGAACACAGTGGGGGGTGGGGCTTGGTGTAAGCAAGTTAGGCAGTCAGTGTCCATGCCTAACTACTTCCCTCAGGTGGCTCTGTTTATGTTGGAGAGTGGGAGAAGGAAATGGAGCTGGATAGTTCCTTTGTTCCTGGAGAGGCTTGCCCTTGAAAACTGCCTCTTAGGGACTCCCTTGAGAAGAGCAAATGATCTCTCCACATGTGCCCCAGGCATTCTTCAGATTGCTATTTCCACACTGTCTGCCCCCAAGTTGTTTGTTTGCCTTCTCTCCAGAAGCAGGGCAGTGCCCTCATGGCTCCATCCCAACCAAGCCTGGTGACCTTTAAAACTCTAGGCTTTAAGCCCCGCTATTTGCAAGAACTCATGAAATTCAGCCCCTGTCATTTTCCAAGCCAATGGCTTTGGGGAAACACTCTCCTTGTGTGTTCCCTTGTGTATTCTTGTCTCTCTCACCCTACTTTGAAAGCACAGCTCCCTCCCCTCCACAGCACCCACTATCTATTTCTCCCTTAGACCACATCTCCATACTTCCTACCTTCTTCAATGTGGTCCCTTGTCTCTCTATAGTCATGGATTTTGTTCTGTGAGTCTTCAGTTTGATTTCTGGTGTATTTAGGATGATTTGATAGTCATCTAGTTGGGTCCTCCTATGCCACTGTCATTTTCTGATTCTAGAATAAAGCAATTTTGAAAAAG